CCCTTACTAATAAATTTCGAAGAATACTTTTCATCTTTAAACCTTGAGCGCTCTGAATCACAAGTTCACCAGTGTTGCAAATCAAAGCAAAAACAATCGATTCTCACCATCAGACCCTTTTGATACCTAGAACCTCATACCGAACACGATTGACTGTGTTGGTCCTTGTGTGGGTGAGGGTGGCGGATTGACTTCGCTTCCCACATCACCGGACGCTTTAACCTCACTACCAATTCATATTACTGTTCCTGTCCGTGGCGTCTATGTTCTGAAGAGGTCAATTTTTAAATTGTGTACGTTACTTCGTCCTGTTGGGTCGCTTGCACATGCTGCACCTGAACCAGAGTTTGCAGTCAACGATCGGGGCGATTCGCTGAATGGAGTGTATACTGTCAATCTCAGCGGTCATCGACTCAACGACTCGGCCGACCAATACTTGTACTTTTATATTACCGTGTGTGTGGCAGACTCGAATCGTATTGGCGGCTGGACATCACGCGCTGCTGCGATGCATAGACGGCTCGTCCGAACGTAAGCGATCGCGTCGCAAATCAGCGTTAGGTACGTATCGATTGTCGAATGTTTGGGTAAGTCTAACGATGAATACGCGACCGTTGCAATCGTTATGATCGGACAATCGGCTATGCATCCACACTAAGCCGAGTCTAGTTGCGAACCCGAGCGACGAACTCGGCTGGATCCAAGCGTGCGCGATATCGTCGCGTCTACGACAGCGAAGAAACCGATGGCACCAGGCTTGTGTCCGATGTCGACCTGCGATTGGAGCTATCCGTCAAACTGCTGCATCGCGCCGATCGGCGACGCTGTCGTTCGAATTACGTTGACTTCCCATCCTGACCAAAATCGTTCCAGGTCGCAAGCGATGGGCGCGATCAACTCCTGTTTTGCAGGGAGCGATCAATTGCGCGCGCTGCCCCCTCGATATGAGAAAAAGTTCGAACGTGATGCGGAGGCTGCGCTGGTCCTGCCACAGTACGGAGAATCGCTGCGGTACCAATCGGCGGCGATGGAGGCGATGGTCCATGTAGGATAAAATGTTGAACGCGCGTCCGTCGCGTGAATCGCAAGCTGACATCACAAGAAGCCTTCTTCAGCATTTATGAAGGGCTACCGTAACCCAAAAAGGGCGTAAAATGGAGTGCTACGTTGTCGTAATCGTGCACACTACACCAGGCTTCACGCCAAATGCACTGGAACATGCCTGCTTCGGTGGAATTCGTGAAATTGAATGTCTGCTGTATCTGTGAAGCTGAACTCACCAAAAAGACAAATCGTTAGAATAAAGTAGCAAATTTCTTAGAACAACTCGTAGTACGTTGACGCGTAAAGCTTGAAGTTTTTCCGCATATATGTATCCTTCCCATTTACAGCAGCACAAATTTAATTTTAATTGTTGTATCTGATTTAAATGATCTTAGAACATCCCTCAGAGTTTGCAAATTCCTAGAATAAGTCCTCGGAAGATTTTGAATTTGAATAGATTGTATCTGAAATGGGCTTCGGACATGGCTTTGGATACTTCTTTGTGGGTTCATCGTAGCTAAGCTGTGGTCGAAAGAGTCAAGTTCACAAAGTTCTGAAGATTGCTGACGCCCATCTTACGCTCTAAATCATCAACGCTGAGAAGGCAGAGGAGTGAAATTTTATCATGTGGGAGAGACAAAGCCTACTCAGCAAATCAAGACAAAACGGAATCGATCTCAGTAAGGAGTTACTTTTAATCTTCCCGTTCTCATCAACCTTACGGATCTGAACATTATAAGCGTATAAGCCAGAAATTAGGCCGAGTGGGTGGCACGCATAATTCAAAGTTCTGGTAGATACATTACACTTTCTGGAGTTCACACCCTTCTTTTCAACCATTTATTTACTCGAGTGTTTACTGTAGGAGGAAGCGCACTGTTCCGTTTTTTCAGGAGTTGGGCCAATGTAAGTCTTGGAGGAAAGCGCAGACGTCTCACGTTACTAAATTTATTTCAAGATTCTGCACAAATTTGGCAGGCAGAGGTCGCATTGAAGCCGCCGGGAATCTGAGAGTGTAGCTCCGTCCTAGCCCCTTTATGGTACAATTATGAAAATAAAAAAAATGAGTTGCAATGCTTTCAAAACGCATGCGCAAGCATATCGCTGGCTTTATCGCTGCCCTACCAATAGAGGAGAGGAGTATATAAAGGCGCGCATACAGAATCAATACCATACCTGTGATTGCACAGTGTTTCTACTTTACGATTCTTTTCTCATGCGAACTTAAGTTATGTGATGCATAGGTGTGGTGTTACGATGTTTTGCGTATGAATTATTGGATGTGCTGGTGTGTGCGTCATTGTCGCACTATCTGTGGCTCGAAATGAAAGTTAGTAAGCTTCCCGAAAGGCTGTGATTCCTTACCACGCCGCTTGCGTAACTATAGTGAGCTCTATGAAGCACCACGAGTAACGCTTTGTGTGCTGATCATGTGCAAGTCCAAGATGCGCATCCACACCACTGTGTTGTTGAGAGTCAACATATGATACTCCGTTTACCAAGAGATACAACAGAACACTCCGCGTTTCAAACGCATACAATTAAAATTAAACGCTCTCATTCCATTATATGAATCCCAATATGGCCTGCGTCCCCTTGGCGTGTTCGTCGTAAAAGCTTGGTGTGATGCGTGCGGCGACCGCAGCATAACACCTCAGTTTGCGTCTTTTTGGGTTACGGTAGCCCCTCATAAATGCTGAAGAAGACTTCTTGTGCTGACATCGCCCTAACACTGTTCCCTTTGCGTCGCTAGACGAGACGCCAGCCTGATATCCACCTAATCACTGGATCTTCAAAGTGTTAAAATTTAGATCTATGAATGCAGAATAACGCACGTTTCGAGCAAAGCCCCAATTACGACAACAAAAGTTCTACGATTAACACGTGCTGCGTGCTACACTATCGTTATCATTTCTAGACTTTATGTTAGCATTTTTCTTTTTTTTTCAATACTTTCGCTTGTTTCAACATAGCAGCAGCTGCTTTGGCCTTGGGCCAGCTCAAAACAACGGGATAGGTACACCTAGTGGATTTAAGGACGTGCGAGAACTTGTTGATAGGGTGATGTGATGTTGTTTTTCCGCGGAAGCGCACGTTGTCCTGGTTTATATTGCCTATTCATTCAGTTCATTTCCATCTCAAGGAAACCGCCGACGTTGTTGCGCCGGCGATCTAGTCCATTTAGTAAGAGCGAACAGCTATATTCGGGCGGATGTGGACGACAGCAACGATCGTAACTGTCGCACAGCATTGGATGCGTATCGATCGTCGGACTTGCCTGAGTATTCGACGATTAGATGCAGTAGACAGTCAGACAGTTGCGACCGTTGCTGTCGGACGACCGACTATGCGTGCGCCCTAACGATTGCACAGGGCCGTGTCTGTCGAGGAGGCGACGCGGTGACGACGATCGATGATCGCATGTATCGCACAGATGGATGCGTATCGATGTCTGACGTGTACAAGGGTTGGACGGTCGATACGTATCCAGTGTTGTACGATCGCCACGGTCATGCGACCGACAATGAACACCGGGTGTGGTTCACTAGTGACTTGGTGCTAAACTACCAGGAAGGTCTTTCAGGGCGTGACGAAGCTTTTTGAAAACGGTCTTTTGCATGATATAGGGGCAGATGCGGGGACCACAGAACCATGTTTAATTTTTCCTGAACGGCCCTCTGAATACCAGAAAAGGGGTCCCTAGTTCGATTCCTCGTGGTGACAAATTTTTGCATTTCGAGTTGACGTTCCAAAATTCGCGCAAAATGGAGTTAGCATGAATAATTAGTACCATATTCATGATTAGGGCCGTCAGTAACTCCTACAAAAAGACTTTGACTTAAAAATTGGTGTGAGAGGTGTGACATCAAGCAGCCCCACTGTGGTGTCACACCTTTTTCACCAGTTTTTTAATCAAAGTCTATTTGTAAGGGTTACTGACGGTCCTAATCATGAGTATGGTACTGATTATTCATGCTAACTCCATTTTGCGCGAATTTTGGCACGTCAACTCGAAATGCAAAAAATTTGTTACCACGAGGAATCGAACTAGGGACCTCCTTTTCTGGTATTCAGAGGGCCGTTCAGGAAAAATTGAACATGGTTCTGTGGTTCCCGCATCTGCCCCTATATCATGCAAAAGACCGTTTTCAAAAAGCTTGTCACGCCCTGAAAGACCTTCCTGGTTAGTTTGGAGGGGGAAGAGATCATGTCCTAGCGCGGCGGCGCGGCAGTCTGCTCACCTGGGCTCTCTCGAACGAGACAGTGTAAACTCGAACATTCCAGCTTTTCACGCATGTCAAGTGACTGCCCCCACCCCCCACCCCTAGACTGGCCTACACTCCCCCTGGCCCACGGATTTCCGAACATGCCAGGCGAGCAGACTGCCGCGCCGCCGCGTGCCCCCCCCCCCCCCAACTAAGTTAGCACCGCGAACACTTTTCGCATTCGCAGCGCGAGACATTTCGCGCTGCAGGGACTTCAGGTCCACCGTTAATCTGTGTGGACCCGGGCTCCCACAACGAAAAACAATTCGCGTGCAAAACGCGTAAAAGTCGCTTTCTGTCCTAATGAACCACACCGCTGAACAACCCCAAGCTGCTGCCATACCCTGAACGACTCTTGCAGTTCGATTGGGTCTGATGTGTATCGATCGTGTTGGCGCAAAATCGTATGACTGCACGTTTGATACAGACAAGGATCCTCACTCGAACTGCAAGGGAGACGCAGGGATGATTGCGGCCTGACCCCTTAACTTCCGTTGCTGCTCATACATATGTACGTACCCTCGCAGTGTAGTTGTATACCATGGACAGTCAAAGGGGCAAAGGGCGGTCTGTTTTGTAGAAGTAGCCTTATGAGCCTCTGGTCTGCTTCATTTTATTGTGAACGTTTTTGCTGCACATCGGTGGAGTTTGAAGTGCTTGAAAACAATCTAGCAATTTTCAGGGTGCTAAATGTCCACCTCGCGTACTGCTACGCGCAAGTGTGATCTGCAGGACGTAACGGAATGTCCAATATGTTGCTTGCGATTCGAGCGGCCACTTCAACTCAGTTGTGGTCACTCATTTTGTGGCAATTGTGTGGATAGACTGGTAGGTGGTACAATCTTCAATTGCTAATATTGTTTTATTGCTCATGAGGTGTACACTATAGCGCATCCAGCATAGTAGCGCCTCCAGGTACTTCGAGCAGCTTGATATTTGTTGAGAAGGACATTCATGAGAATTTTCAGATCCATTCACTATTAGCGCCAGGCACAGGGCACTGTGCTTGGAAGCAGTATACTGAATTTTGTAAAGATGATTTCCCTTTCTTTCATGGAAGGAGCTCGTCGAAAATGGTTATATAGGAAGGGTCGGAAGCGGGTCCAGTCAATGAGCGAATATACTAGTTGAGCGAATGCAGTGGATATGTGCTCAACGATGTTTGTGGTTTTATTCAATTAACTGCGAAAAAATGTTCTATGGTGACAGACTAGGTCAAGTTTAGAGATGTCGCGTATGCCATTGTCATATACGTGTTTGAATCATTTCGGTAGCCTCAGCTTTTTTTTTAACCCTTTCGGACCTGAATTTTTCCCCGTGGAGAAATTTTTCTTCTAGCTATTGTTTATTACTTGTGAGCATATAAGTATCATTATGGCGAAATTTGGAAGCTATTCGATCACAAACAAAGAAACTAAGAAGCTTTGAAAATTGGCCCACCTTCTTAGTTTTTAAGCTTATGTCGAAACAATTCCAAATTTCATAGTTATGCCGAAAAAGTTTATAATCTTGCACAACATTATAACCCATAATTTTGATTTAAGAATGGATCTACTTCAAGTATTTTAAGAAAAAGTGACACTTACTTGGCCGGTTGCGGGGACCAGCGCCGATTCATTGTTGCACTTGTACACAAATACTTGTAATACTAACAGCAACACACAATGAAATGGCAGGTTTAGCTCATAATTAGGAAGGGGAAGGTTGACTGAAGCAACCTCTAGCAGGATTAGAAAAACCATGCTGTTTCAGCGGCAATGCAAGCGTTTGAATTTGGTGGTGGCAATTGCCACCGCCAGGGCCGAAAGGGTTAAAACGTTTTGAATTGCTGAGTGGAACTTCGAAGTTGCAAGAAGCCACTCAGTGTTAATGTTCCGCAACTTCTGATGCTTTCGAATTTGATCCCTTCTGTAATCTTTGCACTTGAACATGATCCAAAATCTTAATTCCTGTTACACAACTTTTGTCATGGCAACCAGGGATAATACATGTGCTTGGAGTCTTTTAGTCACGTTCTTGTACGCGCCACGCCACGCTCGCGACTCCGATTTGGACTGGCGGAGATTCATATATTCATATTCATATAGTGGTTTACTGACGCAAGTCGACGTGCTTTAAATTCTTTTTACTTATTCTTGCGATGATGGCCACGAATAAAGAAAAATTTTCCGCGTTGTAGATAGTATCTTCTTTTCTCATCACATGTTCGAAATTCTGCAGCGCTATCCCAGCTCTCCACCTTTCACGCTGAGGTCATCGCTACACTTCTCGCCACTGGCTGTCGCGCTTATAACCCTCTTCTGTGTGTCAACCACGATCTCTTTCCCTCCCCCTTCCTAAATTGCACAGGATTGGCTGACCCCTGCTTGCTACTCATTTATCTGGTCCTAAGTGTGACTTACACTATTGTACCATGAGCACCCACTGGCTATGACCATCTTACACCTAGCGTGCATGTCATACATCTGTAGTGGAAATACTTTTCTGTTAACATCACTGAAGTTGACTACTGGAAATCACAGTGGTTCCTTCTTATGAAGATAGGATGGGGATTTTTTAGACTGGGTTTGAGTCATTTTCGTGTCGTTTTTTTGCCACTGTTGGGCTCCTAGAGTACCACTTGTAATGAAGCTCGTCTGAGTGAAGTTGACGTGAAGACAAGCCTAGAAAAAGCAAGAAATTGATTTTCTCATTAGCAGACGCGATTTTATCTTTTTTAACACCATTTATAATTTTTACCCATATTTTTTTAGATTGCTGATGCTCGTGGCCCTGGTAACAGAAATGACAATTATTTGGAAGCAGTGCGAGGATTAGCTGCAAACATTGATCAGGGAGTAAATCCGCCACATTTTGTATGTGATATGTGGACATAATTCTAGCATCTTTTGTGTAATTCATTTGATTGCACGCATTCAGAATCGCATGGATCAAGACCTGTGGTGGCCTTTGAACCTGAATCGACAGCAAATGATGCCACCGCCTCCTCCTGGCTTAGGAGGTATTCCTCATCCACCACGATATATTCTTCGTAAATTTCAATGACGAGGTGAGGTCACTTTTGTTTTTCGTGCATAATTTATTGGAATTTAGCATTAGTGGATTCCCCGGCAAATCCCCGATCTGTTGGAAATAATGCAAACCATGCTCTGGCAGACAAAACTAAAAGTAGTTTGAATCAGCAATTCATGACTCCTAATTATTCCCACAAATATCGGAACTGTCTCCTCATGTCTGTGCTTCTGCACAATCCTCTCAAGAGTTGCCTCATCATAAACAGTTATCTTCGCTTCCAACCTTTTTTTTCAACAAATGAACAGCGTAATTAGGGAAGGGTATGGTGTGTTGAATTGTCTCTTTATTAACATTGGTAGTGCTTCTCTTTTTTCTACGCTGGAGGTTAATTGACACCGACGTTTAATTCAAACCTTTACGTGACTGTTAAATAGCATGAGATCTGAAACAGTTTTTCCGTTTGTTATACGATACCAGTGAAGCAAACAAAACTTCATGTTGTTGAAGTGAGTCACGTTTTCAGCCGCCCTTCTTCCCACGTCGACCACTAGGTGCAAATGGAGCGGCCGAGATTATCATAAAATGTCCAGAGTGCCGCCAGCCAACTAGAGTGCCACCTGAAGGGCTTCCAATCAACTATCGCCTACAAGGTACGGAGTGCACACTTGTTTGAGATTTGTGAGGATTTTTCTGTTTAAGAGCTCTTCTTTTTCCATTTCGAACCGAGGGTTCAGAACTCCGTGAGGCTCAGAAAATCTGCTGCAGAAGTTCAAAAAAATTTTTTTGAAATTTTTTGGAGTAAAGTTCGTTAGGTTTACAGTGTCATCAAGCATTTTAGGTTTAGTCTATTTCAGAACTCTTATCACATGTAACCGAAGTTAGCAATCAGCAATCGAATGATCAGTGTAGCGCAGATGGTAGTCCATTGCGGAAATGCTTAGCGTGCGACGATGTCATCAGCAAAGGCGTATATCTGTTGTGTCGCACATGCCCCGGTGAAACTGTGGTGAGTCCTAAAAAACTCTAATCGTTCATAACTTCTTTATAAATGTTAACATAGGTCAGAGGCATGTGTGGGCCTCAAGAATTAAGTAATCAACGTACACGTATATTTTAGTCGCAGCTTTATGTGCGATGTGTTGTCTTGAACCACAGGACGGTACATGTATATTTGAAGAGATAGGCGTTTGTGACCTATGATGGAATGTAAACGGTGCGTTAGAAATTTGCACTTTTCTTATTTCGTTCTGCCTCTTCAAGGAATACTGTTGAATTGTTGTTTGAAATATGAATAGTAATTTAATGCATTGTGCTACCTATCTTATATTGGGTTGTTCAGAAAGTTTCCGCCGATTTTGCCTCAAATTCAAAAACGTATATCTCGATTTAAACAAGGCTTCTTTGCTCGAAATTAAAATTATTACATTCCCCATACCTTCGCCTACAAGAAATGAGTTTAGCTGATGGAAGTGCTGAAGTTCTCTGTGAGCTAGGAACTCGGTGGATGTGGTTCACCACCTCGTGTTGGGTTTCAGTGCGCAGTCTCTCCAAGTAGACCTTACAAATGGTTGGAAAAGTGACAGTTGGTAGGCAATAGGTCTACTTTGTGAAATAATTGCAGCACAATTTCATAGCTCAGCTAGTTCAATACGGAAGTCCGAGATGGGGTCGTGCAACAGTGTCAAAAGCAGCCGGCACCGGGGCTTTGGTCTCATTAGGATGACAGTGGGTAGAAGAGCCGGCGCACCTGGCTTTCAACTTCTTTGGGCATTTTACCCTCACCGCTATGTTTGGAAATCTTATGTCGGTTACGAAGCAGCCTGTTCAACAGTTTCATGCAGATTTGGTTTGGTCAAAACCCTCAGCTGATCTTTATCAGTCTCCGATATCACTAATCTCCTTCAAAGCTTTCAACATCGCGAGAAAGACATTTTGAATTACGACTGCACAGCGTATTTTTTGTGGACTCTGAACCAAATGCTTAGTTGATATCGCAACTTGCTTCCGCACATTTCCGAGCAAGTTTGAGGGGAAACAAGAAACTAGTGCAAAGCAGGCTGTTGAGTATGTTGTATTCAAGACTTCAAAAAAGTGGAAAGTGATTCAGTGTTGAAAAAACAGTAGATTTGGATAGAGCGAGGAACGCGCTTTCTAACGATATATAAAGTGTTAGCAGTTTCTTGAAAGTGACCCAGAAATAAAGCATTCAAAAGTGAGCTACAAAAACGGCGGAAACTTTCCGGACAACCCAATAAAACG